TGATAAACTATCAAGTATGTCAAAATGATCCACACATTGTAGTGTTTTGCTCATTGGTGCAATTGACAGTATGTAATGAAATACCTTTTAACATTGTTATTGTATCTTACCAGCTGATGTTTCAAATCCATGGATTGATAGTATATGCAATTAAATTTTCTAATTTATTAATTTTTCTTTTTTGCCAAAGTTATGCAAGGATACTAAATTGTCTGGTATGGATGCATCTAAACACACCCATATTCTCTCTCTACACATTTGGGGCTACTCAGTGCATGAGGCTCCCGCTAAACTGGGGTTTGGGGGAAACAAACCTCATCCCATTTTTGCAGAGGTTGTTTTCGTGACTTGAATTCGTGCTATCAGTGATTCTAATGGCAAATCTTATCATTGAGCCAAGCCCCTCTTTCACAAGATGGGTGTAGAGAAAGCAAATTAGGGGAGTATTTAGAAGCTTCTATCTGGTATTTCTTATATGAGAACTCATAGTTTATTTTCTACTCATGATTATTCTAATTTTGCAGCATAAATTATTGAAATTACCCCAATTTTTAATGGACTAGAGTTCTGTTCCATGGTTATGATATTATCAGTTAAATAAGTTCATACTATCACAAGAATGTTGGAATCTTACTAACTGGTTCTATAATATCTATAAAGAGGGAAATTGTTGCATTTATTTGTAAGATTTAAACACATTGGCATTATGATTTGATTCAGTCATGTACTAAGTCTGAATTTACATTCTGTGGTCATCACTTTTTCAGCTGGCAGCACCTCTGGAAACTCTTGGGAGAGCTGCAGCTGAGTTGCAATTAAAGAAAAGAACTCATTTTGGTAATAGTTACTCTGCTACTCCTTAGTTTTTTTTCATTGTCTGTCCATGATTTGGACTTCCTTCTCTATTTCTCTTCCTCTGAAATGCTCTGTTATCGTTGATGAGTATATCATTTGCGGAAAAAAAAGATGTTTTTTTGTGCTTATTTGTTAATTGCTTGATACTGATTTCAGGAATGGATCTACCGTTTGAGTGGGATGAGGCAGAAGCTTTTGTCAGACAACCTGATGGTTCATTGTTCAGTTGGTGCGAGCGTTATCATTGCTACCATCACATTATATATGGAGTGGTGAGTTGTTCTATTTGTTGTTGTTTCTCTTAAATGGACATTGGCTATCTATATTAAGGCAATGAACGTGCATTTCTTTGTGGATCGTAGAGTTCAAAAACATGGCCATCCAATTTTAGGTGAACTCGCTGCCAGTTCCCTTTAGTTTCCCTTTTTTATGGTGTTATCACAATTGCTGGCTCTATTGCTTGGATGTTGCTCTCCTTTTTACTTTGTAATTCAAAATCAATTCACAAAATCCCACATGCATAACAAATCTTTTTTGGGCTCTATCATATTAAACTTATATGTGTCTCCATATTTCTTTTCCGTTTATGCATATGCATTGATTTATGTGTAAATTCAGTGAACCAAGTGCGAGAACGTAAAACTAATCTGTTATGGGATTCTTGGCTTTGCGGTTTCCTTGTATGCTCAATATTGCTTGTTGATTGATTCTTACTTTCACATTTACAGGTGAACAAGAGCAAGTCGGTTATAACTTTAAAATCTGATGGCAAAGAGTTCCACTGGAAGTCGGGAGAATCTCTTGTTCGGAAGTTGGAGTTGGAGGGCATTGTCAAAGAAGTCTTTCCTTTGCATGGTATGCTAGCTTTCATGTATAAGTATAACAAAGTTACCTGTAATTCTGGGACACTCAGATGAATTGTGGTTTATAGATGAAATAAAGAGGAAGTGGCTTTTGAGAAATTGGGCATTGAACTGGTGGGACGTCACACGACAGCCTCTGGATGAGATCTATTCATATTTTGGGACAAAGGTGAATCTTGATATGGTGCTAGTTGCTATTGCAATTAATATTCATTTGTATTTTTTGAGTTGCAATAACCTTTAATAATGTAATTTACGGTGTAGATTGCAATATATTTTGCCTTCCTGGGAATGTATACGCGGTGGATATTTTTTCCAGCTATTTTTGGGGTTACCCTGCAGTTGGTTGACTTTGGGTAGGTTACTGTACCTTTTATTATGCATATAGATTGATTTTGAGAATTTGATGTAATTTGGTTTGTAAATTATAATAATTTCTGTGATTGCTTACTGTTTTCTTCAGATCATGGCAGTTATTAGTGCTCCCTGTTTTCTTCATAAGCATTATATCATGGGCTGTATTGTTTTTCCAATTCTGGAAGCGTAAAAACTCTGCCCTCCTAGCTAGGTAATCACATTTGAATCCACCCCAAGTCTTATATTTAGGTTGTTTGTTACCGCTTAAATAACTTATTTATAACTTATTTTAATTTGAGAGTATATGGCTTATTATTTTGTATAATTCTTGGCTACAGCTCATTAGAAAAAAATAACTTAAATAAGTTAAAAATAATAATTAACTAAATGTTAGAAGAGTTATGTTTTTAATTTATAATAAATTATGTCAAATAATGTCATTATTAAGTATGTAACAAATAAAAAGTGTTTATTCTACCATGTTATTGTAGAGAAATTATTACTTTTTTCAAATTCTTATGATGCTCCATCTTGTTATTAGTTTAATAAGTGAGATCCAGTACTTTTCGTTGGATTTATGATAATCAATTTGACAAATGTGAAGTAGCAGCTCCAATAGCCGCTGGGTTTATGAAAGTAAATTTGACAAATGTGAAGAGCTGCCATTAGAGCTGCTATTGTTACAAATTACAATTTGGTAGTTTTAGTAGAGCAGTGTATTTTAATGACAAGAAATAACAGTTACTGCATTTAAAAAATATAAAAGTTTATGTTAAATTTGAAACAAATTTTGACATTTGCTATTTGTGTCCATGAAGTGCAACAAAGCTGTTGGAAAATGGTTTTATATAGGCATATTTTTAACCCAATTTGGGTGGACCCCAAACGTGTTTTGGGGTGGGTCCGAAAAGGTGAAGTGGTGAAAACGGAACGTCAAAACCATTTATGAGTGAATGGGAAGATGACGTCGTTTTCGGGTTTAACATTAATTTTTTAGATAAAATTCATTTGAATTTTTCAATAAAAATTATTGTGGGAATTTAATTTAATTCTAAATTCAAATTTTGGGTTCCTAAGTGGTTTCCTAAGGTTTGTAATTTTGGGAGTTTAATTTAATTCTTAATTCAAATTTTTATTTCCTAATTGGTTTCCTAAAAATTTGATTAAACTATTTAAAATAGTTTAATAAAGTTATTTCTTTCAAGTGATAGATTTTTTATGAATTAACTTTTCTAACTATTCTAATAGTTTATTTATTAAAACAGTTTTTGTAACTGTTGCACTTCATAACCTTTTAAATTGTTTGAAAGCAACGGTCAAGTTTACATTCAAATCGGTTAATTTGAATAAGACACCTATTGACTATTCAAACGGACACTTTTTGTTGCCTATAAATAGAATTGATATTCCAGCAATCTGTGGAGGTTGGTTTTTTTTTTTTTTAGAGACATCGAAAAAACCAGTCAGAAAAATAGTCTGAAATTTTGTTCCATTGTTGTCCAAAATTTTCTATTTTTGCATTATTCTTCATTTTAGTTTTAGAATAAATTAAAGAGAGTATTAGAACACAGGTTTCGTTCGACGTACAAATTTGTTTGGTGTGCTACAACAATTTTGTGAAGATCATTGTATCCTGGGAGATAGACGCCACTCAACCGTAAGCACCGTAGCGGGGCGAATCTGTCTTAAGGACAGAGTGTCACACACTCGACTTGGTCTTAAATTATTTATTCAGTTTAATAAATAAATTCGGTACGTTATTTATTTATTTGTTTGGATTTATTTCTATTTATTTTATTTACACAGAAGATTGATCCTACAAAAGCAAATGTTTCCCTCCCTTTCTCCAGTTTTTCTTCATATTTTCAGACCATTTCAGTAAACAAACAAATGAAATAGGATGTCTGGTGGAGCTATTTCTGCATTTCTTTCCAATATTTTGAAACTCGAACAGGTGAGCGGACCGAAAAAGAGTCTGGATAGATGGGTCATCGGTTTAACCGTCGAGTCAAAATAATCGAAACCATGACGTCATAATTAATATTATATAATTTTAAAAATATAATTATAAATTATAAATAAATAAATATATACATGCTCAAATAAAAATAAAATTTGTTAGCATAATATTTATTAATACTATTTAATAAAGTCATAATTGATAAGAAAAAGTTGCTTGTTTTAAAAAAATTAAATTTTTTTAACATTCCTTTCCAACAAACTGATTGAATTCTAGATTTAATTTTGGAAGGAAATTAAATTTTTAACTCTCCCTTCAATCATTATGATTCAAATAATTTGGATCAGAACTAGGCCCGAGTCCTGCTTTCACCGGTCTAGGTTTTAAATCATTGTTTCTTTCTATTCATTTGCTGAAATGGTCTAAAAAGATACAAATGACCATTAAAGTACAATTGTTATAATTTGACAATTTATTACTATTCATTAACAATTTGTCAAATTATAATAATGATAATGATAAAATAGCAATTGCCAAGACGCCCTGGTAAATGACAAAAAATAATATTTTAAAATTATTAAATAATCACTCCACAATGGCAGTGTTTGGCAACTAGGTTTTTGGTTTATTTTTTGATTTTTTTCGCTACAAGACAAATGTTTTACAAAATTAAAAAAAAATCAATCTAAACAAAATATCATATCAAATCCTATAATCATTTCACTTTTTCTTTCACAAATATCATATCCAACCAAAAAAAATTCAACTATATTCCCAAACACAAATTTTTTTTTCTCCAATAATATTCTACAACTAAAAAAACCTACAAAAAAATTCACTTCCCAAACAGCCGCATTGTAGGTTAAATTATGAAAAATTTGTGGAGTCTCAAACAATATTCAATTTGAAAATTAAATTTCAAAGATTTTCGAGGGAAACCCAAAGGGCCTAGTTGCTTAATAGCTTTGTCCCAAGTGTTTTAATGGGGGGAACCAAAGAATGGAACAAGAAGCATGTATTCCTTTACACATCTCTCAATTCTGGAAAAACCCAAAACCCCTTTCTCTGTAACAAAAACATATCTCTCTTCATCATCACCATCAGACCACCACCATCACCTGCAAGCAATTTGCAATTGCAGATGTGGATAGAGAAGATCAGGAGCGATCAACACCATTAGATTTGTCATAGAAACCAATGACATGCATTGGCATTCGTGCCTCGCCAGTCACTCGAACACAACAAACACAAACCACCGTTTCTCTCTCCCAGTGGCAACGGTCACGGGACCAGGTGTCCACTTCTTTGGACACCCCCTTACGTGTCAATCCCAAAAGTAACTCCCCCCCTTTTTCCCGAGCTCACAGACACCTGTTCTCTCTGTCTCTCTGTCTCTCGACCCTGTGTTACCATATTAGCGTTATTTTCCTGATTGAAAAGCTTAAATTTGATTTTTGGCTGAGGACCCAAATCGCCAATTGAGCAAAAACAAACTTTTTTTTTGGGTTCATTGTAGCTTAAACAGAGAGACCCAAATCAGTATTTTATCAAGAACTTACCTTTGAGGTCGAGTTAGGGTTCTATCGATTCTAGAAAGAGATACCCATTTGGTTTTTTGGAATCTTTGAAGGTTTTCTTGGTTTGGGTTTTTGGGTTTTGGGGCGTTTGGTTGGGTGGGTTTGGAAATGAATGGGGATGGGGAAGAAGAACAAACTGCTTTTGAGATAGCGGTGGTGGTTCCAAGGAGGGCTGGGAAGCAAGGGGATGAGAGTTATGATTGCGTTGAGTTTCTTGTTGATGTGTTCAGGAAGGCTGGGTTGATTGTTGACAGAGTTATTGGTTTTCAGGAAGAATTTATCAAGGTTCAATCTCTATCCTATTATGTTTTATGTGTTCTCTGGTTGTCCTTTTATTTGCAATTATATCTTGTGTTGCAATAGAAGACTGTGATAAACTATCAAGTATGTCAAAATGATCCACACATTGTAGTGTTTTGCTCATTGGTGCAATTGACAGTATGTAATGAAATACCTTTTAACATTGTTATTGTATCTTACCAGCTGATGTTTCAAATCCATGGATTGATAGTATATGCAATTAAATTTTCTAATTTATTAATTTTTCTTTTTTGCCAAAGTTATGCAAGGATACTAAATTGTCTGGTATGGATGCATCTAAACACACCCATATTCTCTCTCTACACATTTGGGGCTACTCAGTGCATGAGGCTCCCGCTAAACTGGGGTTTGGGGGAAACAAACCTCATCCCATTTTTGCAGAGGTTGTTTTCGTGACTTGAATTCGTGCTATCAGTGATTCTAATGGCAAATCTTATCATTGAGCGAAGCCCCTCTTTCACAAGATGGGTGTAGAGAAAGCAAATTAGGGGAGTATTTAGAAGCTCCTATCTGGTATTTCTTATATGAGGACTCATAGTTTATTTTCTACTCATGATTATTCTAATTTTGCAGCATAAATTATTGAAATTACCCCAATTTTTAATGGACTAGAGTTCTGTTCCATGGTTATGATATTATCAGTTAAATAAGTTCATACTATCACAAGAATGTTGGAATCTTACTAACTGGTTCTATAATATCTATAAAGAGGGAAATTGTTGCATTTATTTGTAAGATTTAAACACATTGGCATTATGATTTGATTCAGTCATGTACTAAGTCTGAATTTACATTCTGTGATCATCACTTTTTTAGCTGGCAGCACCTCTGGAAACTCTTGGGAGAGCTGCAGCTGAGTTGCAATTAAAGAAAAGAACTCATTTTGGTAATAGTTACTCTGCTACTCCTTAGTGTTTTTTTCATTGTCTGTCCATGATTTGGACTTCCTTCTCTATTTCTCTTCCTCTGAAATGCTCTGTTATCGTTGATGAGTATATCATTTGCGGAAAAAAAAAGATGTTTTTTTGTGCTTATTTGCTAATTGCTTGATACTGATTTCAGGAATGGATCTACCGTTTGAGTGGGGTGAGGCAGAAGCTTTTGTCAGACAACCTGATGGTTCATTGTTCAGTTGGTGCGAGCGTTATCATTGCTACCATCACATTATATATGGAGTGGTGAGTTGTTCTATTTGTTATTGTTTCTCTTAAATGGACATTGGCTATCTATATTAAGGCAATGAACGTGCATTTCTTTGTGGATCGTAGAGTTCAAAAACATGGCCATCCAATTTTAGGTGAACTCGCTGCCAGTTCCCTTTAGTTTCCCTTTTTTATGGTGTTATCACAATTGCTGGCTCTATTACTTGGATGTTGCTCTCCTTTTTACTTTGTAATTCAAAATCAATTCACAAAATCCCACATGCATAACAAATCTTTTTTGGGCTCTATCATATTAAACTTATATGTGTCTCCATATTTCTTTTCCGTTTATGCATATGCATTGATTTATGTGTAAATTCAGTGAACCAAGTGCGAGAACGTAAAACTAATCTGTTATGGGATTCTTGGCTTTGCGGTTTCCTTGTATGCTCAATATTGCTTGTTGATTGATTCTTACTTTCACATTTACAGGTGAACAAGAGCAAGTCGGTTATAACTTTAAAATCTGATGGCAAAGAGTTCCACTGGAAGTCGGGAGAATCTCTTGTTCGGAAGTTGGAGTTGGAGGGCATTGTCAAAGAAGTCTTTCCTTTGCATGGTATGCTAGCTTTCATGTATAAGTATAACAAAGTTACCTGTAATTCTGGGGACACTCAGATGAATTGTGGTTTATAGATGAAATAAAGAGGAAGTGGCTTTTGAGAAATTGGGCATTGAACTGGTGGGACGTCACACGACAGCCTCTGGATGAGATCTATTCATATTTTGGGACAAAGGTGAATCTTGATATGGTGCTAGTTGCTATTGCAATTCATATTCATTTGTATTTTTTGAGTTGCAATAACCTTTAATAATGTAATTTACGGTGTAGATTGCAATATATTTTGCCTTCCTGGGAATGTATACGCGGTGGATATTTTTTCCAGCTATTTTTGGGGTTACCCTGCAGTTGGTTGACTTTGGGTAGGTTACTGTACCTTTTATTATGCATATAGATTGATTTTGAGAATTTGATGTAATTTGGTTTGTAAATTATAATAATTTCTGTGATTGCTTACTGTTTTCTTCAGATCATGGCAGTTATTAGTGCTCCCTGTTTTCTTCATAAGCATTATATCATGGGCTGTATTGTTTTTCCAATTCTGGAAGCGTAAAAACTCTGCCCTCCTAGCTAGGTAATCACATTTATCCAACTGTTATTTAGTTGCTGTTAACCTTTGGATCTAATGCTTCATTTTTTTTCGGCAGAAAACATTTTCCAACAGAAAAACTGTTTGCGGAATTTTTTTTTTCAGAAAATATTTTTCTTGGAATTTTTTTTTATGTTTGGTTGTGATCTTGAAACTAATGTGCTGTTGATTGTATTAGTAGTGGTGGTAGGGTGGTGGAGGAGGTGTTGGGGTAGTGGTGGTGGTGGTGAAGTGTGGTAGTATGGTGGCATTGGTAAAAATTTAGTCTGGAACATGGTTTCCACTTTAAAATGGTGGAAAATATTTTTCGCCCTAACAAGTTTGTTTTCCGTTGACCACGGAAAACCTTTTTGTTTTGTTTTGTTTTTTTTTTTTTTTGTGGTGGTTGTGGGGGGGAGAGTAAGAATTGCTTCTTCCCTCCCTCCCTCCTTCCCTCTTGTTTATATTTTTTATTGCTGTTTTATTCATGTTTAATGTTGTTTCTAATCTTTTCCCCATGTGTGTTGTAGGTGGCAAATTAGTTGTCCGTTTGGAGAAGACCCTGGGTATAACTTTTTGGAAATGGAGTGGAGTTCCTTCCAGTCTCCTGTGGAACTCATAAAGAAATGGGGCAACGATAAAACAAAAGAGAAGGAGCTATTTCAAAGGAAGGAATGGTTCGGATGTCTGATGAGATTCAGAAATGATGCCATCATTATCTTGAGTATCATATGCCTTCAGCTTCCATTTGAATTGGCTTATGCTCATCTCTACGAGGTTATTGGGTCCGATCTTATGAAGTGAGAATCTCATTACTGTTGTTTTGAATTTATGTTATTTTGCTCCTTTTAGGAAAAAGAAATTATTATCCTTTCTTTCTTGCAACTATTAGCATCTGTTTTAGTTCACTTTCTTATCTTATTATATTTTAATCCTAGTGTCTGATTTATGCTTGTTTTGCTTTGTTTAGCACATATATATGCAGCGAATATACATGTGTGTATTTCTGCATGCATTTTCATTTGAACTTATCACATTGTGATACATTTAACAAAATATAGTAGTCACTAGAGACATGAGATCGGTCCAATGCTGCATGAAGTTATTTTCCTTTCCATTTGAAGTTAAAACTATGTAGCATTAGATGGATCACCCACAACAAGCTTTGTTGATATTAATAGTACATATTCATGCATCATCAATAATAGTTTGTCCAGTGAGAATGATATCGTAGCCTACCATAAAATTCTTCTAATTTAAGCCTTCATTTGTAAAAAAATTAAGATGATGGTCTTAATGCAGACTGCATGGTATATGATTATTATTGTCATGAGCCAAACACGTCCCTAAAAGTTTGGGTCATAACCGGCCAGTAATCCATGGATTACCGAAGGCTTCAAATGAACATACAAAATATTTATGTTAATGGGGCCATAACGGAAGCATATAATGAGAAGGAGTCTATTGAGTTGTGCTGATCATGAGCAAGATCATAGAGATAACCATGTAACAGCCTAACAAGAATATAGGAGTCAAAGAAAAAATTGTATATAGTGTTTACAACCTAAGACTACGAAAGCAAAAACAAAATAAGATCAAGGTGTGGTGTGAGTCAAGACAAAACTCCATCTCGGAGGCGGACTCGATTGGGTCTCATAAAGAATAGCTCCTGAAGCTGACTCTAGGGGTGTGCTCCATGCTGCGGATTACCTACATGTAAATACATAATATTGGGTGAGCGAATTTCAATGAGTAATAATACAGTAAACAACGTAATAATCATAATATTATCACAATATCCATAATCATGTAAACAAAATAGCCTTAGGGCCAATCATATATCAAAACAGCCTCGGACCCAATTTGCACATATCAAAACGGTCTCGGGCCCAATTTGCACATATCAAAATGGCCTCGGGCCAAATATTTATCAAAACAGCCTCAGGCCCAATTTGCACATATCAAAACGGTCTCGGGTCGAATCATATATCAAAACGGCCTTAGGCCCAATTTGCACATATCAAAACGACCTTTGGTCCAATCATATATCAAAACGGCTTCGGACCCAACATTTATGTATGTATGGACCAAAGAGGTGACTCGTACGGACTCTAGAAGTGATTCCCACTGTAGCACTTAGTTTCGTACAACACTTTGTTCTATACTAGAAATCAGTAGGTTTTAAAGACTGAACAATTCATATCATGTCATAGCATAAACGGAACGGCTTTGGGCCTCCCATATCATATTATAAACAATTCACATTTATTGTTCGTAACTCATTTCACATTTTTTGGAAACTTGTGCATTTTGACAAAATACGATATTTAGAAGATCATGTCGTACATAAATCAAAATAGATAATGAAAAATATATCTTTACTATACTATTATTAGAAGATTATGTCGTACATAAATCAAAATAGATAATGAAAAACATATCTTTACTATACTATTACTCACAGTGGTTTTCAGAAATGGTTGACCGGTCCTCGAATCATGACCTGCAAACACAATGCGCATGGTACAACATATCTGAACATAGAATTACACTTTTGATCAAATTTACTTCTCTTAATCTTTTCTTAACCAAATAAATCAATCCTTTACTTTGCTTCTTAACTAATTATTTTTGTTGGTTTTAAATTCATTAGTCCTCAATGGGTCATAATTCGTGTCTAGGAAAATAGGAAGAAACAAAAGGAAACTAGGTTAGGAGAGGAAATAGCATGAAACGGTTATAAAGAAAGTGAATAGTCTTCACTAATTTGAGCAAATCTATTTGTGTACTTAGAATTTGGATATGAGACTACCACTATTGGAAATTAGACTTCTGGGGCTTGAATTTAGGCTCAAGAATTGTTTAAACGGAGTTCAGATGAGGGAGATATGCCTTTTGAAGTTACTAGGTATAAGTTGAAACAGGGTTGGCTGCACGTGCGCCCACTTTGACAACTCGAGCAGTGGCCTTGGCCGCTCGAGCAGTGGTTTAAGCAGAATGCAAACCTCTATTTTTCATCATGTTCTGCTCGTGCGGAGCTCGTTGCCGTTTGTGCGGTCAAGGCAAAATCAAACCGTCCAAAAATTGCCAAAAATGCAAACCTTCCAAACTCATTTCCAAGCTCAAATCAAAGCAAAACTCACTTAAAAACATGATATACAAGCATGATACAAGTGTAATTCCACATTAAACTTATCAATCTTGCATCAACTTCATGGTCTCATCTTTTCCATACAATCATGAATTTCATATACAAGCTCAAAATACATATATCTATGAATGACCTTTCAACAAATCTTATTTGTATGAACCATCAAAAATTTATTTCATGGATTAATCACAAGATTGAACTCAAGTCAAACAAAAATGAAGAGATTTCTTGATTTTATTCCAAACCTTTACACAACTCAGACCTTAGCTTAAAATTTCCAATTTAATCTTGATTTCATGCCAAAGATGAGTTAGAGACAAAGATTATAAGTAGATTATTATACCTTAACTCAAGCCTAAGGTTTGCCCTTTGATTCTCTTCCAAAACCCTAGCTCTTCTTCTTCCTCTCTCTCTAACTTACTCTAACAAACTCTCCCGCAAAATGAAGAACACAAGAGGCCAAACACAAATAAGGCTTAACTCATAAATTTTAATTTGATCATTACGAATCGTAATTTTACAAAATTTCACTGTAGGCTCTAAAAAATATGTTAATCACAGATATGAAGTTGATTTTGATTTATCGCGCCTCTAAGGCTATCAATTTTCCGCTCAAAGTGGTATTTGCAACGGATATTTCTACATTCAACAGATCAAGTTCCAAAATCACAAAATTCACATACTTAAAACTTGGAAATTCATATCAAACACATAATCCCATGCATAATTAAATGTAATACGGGTTGGGTTATCACAATTATCTTCTTTGTAGTGTCAACTTCTTGTTTCAGTATTTCCTCCATAAATTCTTTGACTTATCCGAAATATATGGATCAATGACCTGTCCCCTTGACTCATCCAAAATATAGGTATCAATGACTTGTATTTATTACATAATATTGTTTAAAATATTATAACACCGTGTAAATATTTTGTTTTCAGGTTTGGGCTGACCGTGGTCTATCTTTTTGCGATACAGTATTTTAACAAAATTGGGGGCAAGATATCAGTCAGACTCATTAAATATGAAAACAATGAAAGCACAGAATATAAGGCTGACAGCTTGATTTACAAGGTAAAAAGGAGAGATCGGTGCAATCCCTTATGAATCTGGTGTTTTATGGTTACCGAATTCTAATTATTTACTATTTTCTTTCCGTTGTAGGTGTTTGGCCTCTATTTCATGCAGTCATATATTGGAATTTTTTACCATGTGCTTCTTCACCGCAATTTTGCTACTCTTCGCCAAGTTTTGATTCAACGTCTAATTGTGTCCGAGGTAGGAAGATATTATTGATTATCTTTTTTGTATTTATGTTCTTTTTTGGATTTTTATGTACTTTTGTGCCGGAAAATGTTTTCCAGGTGCTCGAAAATCTGATGGAAAATTCTTTACCCTATATGAAATACAGCTACAAAAAGTACAGAGCTATTCGGTAAGCCTCTTCCATTATTATAATCTGTTTCAAGCCTTGTAATTAATAGATCGTAGCTTAGCTTTATCTTTCTCATACATGCCTAGAATGCGGTTTTATGCATTGCTTCCCATGTAGAAAGAAGAGAAAACGCGAGAAAGGTTTGTCAACAGGGAAGACCCAGTTCATTTATAGGGTAGAGAAAGAGTATCTTAAACCTACTTATTCTGCAAGTGTTGGCGCGGAACTTGAAGATGGGCTCTTTGATGGTAATGTATAAATCCGTGCAATTGTCAGAAATATATATATTTATGTCTAGCAGTAACATTTGGAAATCATATGAAATTTAAAGCATCTCATTCTGTTTCAGAAACTATTTGGAAAGCATTTTCTTTTCTTGTTTCCATTTAAAAATGCATTTAAATGGTTTTATTTCTTATTGAGAGGGGTTAATTAAACTTTACTGGTTTGTGGTTTTTTGGCTAAAAGAGCCAAAATGTCATATCATACGTATGTATCAATCACTTTTTCCCTGACAACTATCTATTCAACCAAAAAAACCATTCCAAACTCACTGAACTTAAAGTTGCCAAATGGGCACTGAATATCACCTTATCCCCCTCAACTTAAAAACCTCCTTGAAGAACAAGCAAAATTTCTTGGTGAAGCCTGTGACTGCCCTGATTTGTTGATTAAATGCAAAGATCAAAAGTGTTATTGCAAGTCCTCAAAGAAATCTCAACATTTTCAAAAATGAAAGCCCAAGAAGAAGCATTCTTCTTGCTCCGTTTCTCAAAAACATAGAATCCAGAAATGTACATTTAGATGCCTCAACTATCGAAATTGCTTCACTTTCAACCCCTCCAGAAGAGGGATCCACTTTGTAAAGTTTTTGATTGTTGAGGGGTCTAACATACCATTTTAAAGTTGGAAGGGGGTAAGGTGATATTCAATAATTAACCCTATTAAAATGCATTTAATGGAGATTGTATATTTGTCATTTCCTTTTCATGTGGTTTCGAATCACCATGGAGATCGTCAAATATTATTAATTTTTTATGTGGGTTTTGCATAACCGTGTGAAATTTAAAACAATTCACTTGCAGACTTTCTGGAGTTGGCATTGCAGTTTGGCATGATTATGATGTTTGCTTGTGCATTCCCGCCAGCCTTTGTCTTTGCTGCATTGGTATTAATGCTCGTAGTTGCTCTTTCAACAAAATTACTGATGCTTTTTTAAATCATATCAGGTCTAGACAAAGTAAATGAAAGTTTGTACTTTGTACGGTTGTCTTGTGTGCAGAACAACATCACGGAAATCAGAACTGATGCGCTAAAGCTGCTTGTCATGTTCAAAAGGCCCATTCCCCGTGCTGCAGCAACAATTGGAGCTTGGCTGAATATATTTCAGGTATCGGTTATATCTTTTCCAGACTAAAATCATTGTAGTGTCCATCTTTAGTGGTGATTTTCTAAATGCACTGTGAATATTACTACAAAAAATCCGTCTTAGCTGAACTCACTGGCACCTCAATCTCATTGTGTTGTTGATAAGACTTTCATTCATCCTATTTACAAAGTACTTTATCTCTATACAAAAATATACATGTATTGTTTTCTTTTTTCCTACTATTTATATAAATTTTTTGAACGTATTATATTATTGAAAGTTACATTTTATAGTAATTACTATACAATATGAAGAATTTGTTTTGTTTTTATCATTTTGAAAATTTGTTTAGAGAGAACTCTAAAAAATTGAAATATTATGAAATTTTTGGAATGCTTGTATAGGTAGAATTAAATTTTATTTGACAAGATAATCTAGATGTAGTGATGAATTTTCTAGTCCAGATATACTAATTTCTTTAAAATGCAAGTATTTTGGCCCCGTCAAAATGGAATTAATTTTACCATTGGCTAAACTAAAATTCATTTCTTAAAATTAATTTCTCATACAAGCATTTCTTGCGATCAGTAGTGTTTCTGTGCATTTAGGCATGCATTGGTGGAAATATTGGAATTCCAGTATTCTAAAAAAAAACGAATTTTTTTTACATTTCTTAAAATTTATTTCTCATACAAGCATTTCTTGCGATCAGTAGTGTTTCTGTGCATTTAGGCATGCATTGGTGGAAATATTGGAATTCCAGTATTCTACTAATATTTCCATGTGGGGGGAAAGAAAAAAAAACGAATTTTTTTAACATTTCGGCCGTTAAATGTTATTTTCCTCGTCATGGCTTTGGCAATTCACTTTATCAATCAACTAACAAATTCTGAATATCTAGCTTATTATCTCTACTGCAAACTATTAATTCAAGCATTAAGAAGAAAAAATCCATCCATTACCCTTGGGAATGATGTTCTGTCATTGATTTTATTAAACTGTTTAGATGTGGTTTTTACATTCGGCTTCTCAGTCTACTCATCCAACAATCGTATTACTTACATGAGACAGCTTTGAATTTCAGTTTCTGATGGTGATGTCAATATGCACCAACTGTGCGCTTCTAGTATGCTTATATGATCAGGAAGGGAAATGGAAAATTGAACCGGGACTTGCAGCGATCCTCATTATCGAACACGTGCTCTTGTTAATTAAATTTGTGTTCTCTCGCCTTGTTCCTGAGGTGACATTCTATACAACTTTTTTCGTGCACAAAAATTCTACCCACCCACATCTGCATTTCTCTTAATGATTAGACAGTGTTTGTTCGAATACAGTCGAACAAGAATGCCTATTATTAACCCTCTGTTTTTTGTTTTGGTGGAAAACATTTTTCGCATGTTATGGTGTCTGGTGTACTAAGGAAAAATGAAAGTTAATGAAAAATATTTTTCGTGATCAACGAAAAGTAAACTTTTTCGTGATCAACGAAAAGTAAACTTGTTGAGATGTTTTACTTTTGAAAGGTGAAAAATGTTTTTTGACTAAAATCTTACCAGTGCCATTACATTACTCGTCACCGCTGCCACATCCACCTCCACCTCCCACCACCATCACCACCTCTACCATCCCACACCATCACCATCCCACGACCATGTCAACCACCACCACCCCACCACCCCACCACCACCACCACTTGTACATTATTTTGAAGGTTGTAACCAAACATTAGGAAAGAGTTTTGTACAGAAATGTTTTCTGCTGAAACAAACGGATGTAATGAAAAATTGAGAACTAAGCATTACAGTTATTAATTTTTTTTTACAGGAACCTGCTTGGGTAAGAGCCAACCGGATGAAGAACGCAACGCAAGCACAGGACATGTGTTCGAAGCAGCTTTTGAGGACGATTTCCGGGAATGAAAAGACATCTTCTTTATTAGAAAAGATCGATTGACATGAAAACCCATCCGGTAGATTCGAAGAAATAAGATTTCCTTTTCAACTTTCTTCTGTCTTCAGCCTTCAGTGATGGGTCTATGTTCCTCAAAAAGAACAAAAACCAAAACCCAAGGGACAGTTGTGACAATTTTCTCAGACAGTTTGTATAACCAGTATAGAGAAGTTTTTCAATTTTGTATAAATCATAGCATTGATGTATAGACTTTTATTCATGAACTTCGTAGTGATTCCTCGGATTCTTGAGAGCTGCGACGAGAGCTTCCAAAGCGGTCGCTAACTTGACGAGCATAGGTAACAACAGCTTTAGCCCATCTTTTGATCTCGGATTTGAACTTCTTCGAATCCAAGTGTTTCAGTGACTTGATTCCAGGTTCTATAGAAATCTCCATGAAGGGGAAGCAGCTGCCAATGCGTGGACGCTTTGCAGCGGCTTCGCCTCCGCTGCTGCTGTTCAGAGCGGTGTCGGCCTTGACCGACATGGCGGTGGAGCTTTGTTTGATTGATTGGTTGGTTTTGAAAGCTTGATGATTGAATTTATATGGTCAGGAGGAGAGAGTTGGGTGAAGACAAGAAACATATAAAGAATTCTATTGGGGTGGCTTATTTAAAGAATTTTCAATATTCTGTACGCCAAGTCTTACTTATCATATCAACCTATGAATATGAAGCGTGTTGCTGTAATTCGAGCCTAACATGTAGCTGATATTCTTGACATAGAAAATTATTTTCATTGCTTTTTAACTTTCGCAGTATGCATACGCGTAATTATTACAGTAGTTTCGGAATATTACGGTTAATTTTTCCATCCTGGTTGTTTGATTCAAATTTTAGAGTGTTTTGAGAAGATGGTTAAAATTTAATTTTTTAGTTTTTTTTTTTTTTTTTTAAAAATATGTAAAAAATGTGAGAGATGATGTGATCTAAAATGGGTTAAAAGTTGGAAAGTGGCTTTTAATTTACTTCTCAAAAGAGGCCATTTAGTTTCTGTAATTTTAATTTGAATAATTTAATTTTTATACTGTAAGTTTAGGTTTAATTTGGTCATTTTGTCCAAATTGGAGATTAAGATTAATAATTTTGAAACATTTTTCAAGGTTTTAGTTTGGTTTTTTGGTCTAAATTGAAGGTTAAAATTAATAATTTTGATATATTTGTCAATTTTTTAGGGTGTAAATGTGGATAAAATTAATAAAAAATTAGATGGAAGGATTAATTGGAATTAGATTTATAGTGTATGGAATAAATTATTCAAATTGAAACTACCAGGATTAAAATGAAATTTGGATCAAATTATAATAATAAAAAGTGTAATTAACACAAAAAATTATGATTGAGGAATGTTGATTTAGGACTCTTTTGGAAAGATGGCTAAAAGTTAAATTTTGGCTTTTAGCTTATTTTAGATTATATCATTTCTTTATTTTTTTTACACTTTTTTTAAAAAAAAAAGTTTTAAAAAGTCAAAAAATTCAATTCTTAACTAATTTTCCAAAATAACCCTTACTTTTGTTAAGTAGTTAGGATATAAAGAAAGAATGATTCACCTAGGTAGGGTTATGTAAAAAAATAATAATAATAATTAAAATTTAAAAAAAAATTGTAAATGGCGTTGATTCAGAAAATGTCACGATGTGTTTCGGATTATTCGTTTTTAAACTGTCACAGATATAACTAGTTAAATATCATGTCACCTATCTAGAAAGTGAGCCCATATATATGTCTTGGATTACATATAAAACTATGGGTTAGTAGTTTACTCTGCCCAATTGGATTTGAGAAATTTCGCAGCAAAGAGAAGAATACGTGCATGTATGTATACTTGTTTGTCAAGTCATAAACAATTTGAAATTTTCTTTTAGATGGGTATAAACCATTTGATTTGGTCTTAGTCTGCAAAAAATTAGTTCTAGTCTAGTCAAGACATATACAAATGGGTAATATGAAAAGCTCATTTTACTTCTTAAATCATTTTATTTATTCTTGGCAAACTAATTACACGCATCCGACATGGACAAGTTTATGCTTCATGATACACAACAATGACAGGTAGAGTAATGCCGCATCGCTCAAATTTTGATTTGTCCAAATTGTCCGAATTTTGACTTATTACTCGTCCGGTAAGAAAGTGATAGTTGTGGTTAACAAGGATAACAACTACGGTAAACAAGTGTCGCACTAGTCGTTTGAGTGGTCGACCGGCAAACACAAATTTAGCTTTTGGACAAATTCAAATTCGAATTACCAAATCATTTTCATTGGTAGTTATGCAAAATTTGTTTATTTGTTTATTTTTTAATACTTGATACATTTGAGAAGGTTTGTTGAGAAAGTTTGTATGTGCATTAGTTGAAACGTGATAAAATTGGCAAGTGATTAGAAAGTAGTTTTGGCAACAAAAACAATTACAAAAAGGAGGACAACTGGAATATGCCCAAATTTGTCAATTCAGGCAATATTGTTTAATTCTGTATCGTAAAGTTGATGCCTTTTTGTTTTCATTTTTTTATTCTACTACTAGGTATTAGTAGATCTATTTTTTAATTTTAAATTTATATATGGGGAACTTACTGATAAGTCTCATGTACTAAGTTCAAAACCCAGCTAATTCTAAAACAAAATACTTGCACTAATTAGTCCAATACATTTTTAATTGTTACCAAAAAAATCTTTTTTTTTTTTTTAATTTACAGACACTGTTCACATCTTACTACCGTCGGACTTCCGTCAAACGGTCGCCGGGTACTCGTCGGAATGTTCAACATCGCCGGAGACTCGTCAGAATGTTTAAAACATGTTATGAAACTGTAAAATTTTACAGTTCTAAAAATGTTATAAAACTGCAAAATTTTACAGTTTTAAACCATGATGTATTCCAGCACTAAAAAAAAATTTGAAACTGTAAAATTTTACAGTTTTCACCGCCTGTAACTAAAACTTGAAAATTACTTGTTCAGAATTCGAAAATTTTCTCATTACAAATCTGTGTGATATCTGTACAAATCTAAGTCATTACAGATCTGTTTCAATGATATTATAGATCTATTTCATCATTAACAACAACAACCATAGATCAACAACTATCCCAAAAAAAATCTGTAAATAGAGAGAGAAAGAGAGAGAAATTGACAAAGATATATACACAAATCTGTTCAATCTAAGCACAGATCTGAGGATGAGCGTCTTCTTATTCTTGTTCTTCATCGCCTTCTTGTTTGACTTTAGGACTGAGATTAGGGTTAGAGGAGGAGGCGTAAAGAGGGAAGCAAAAAGTAGAGAGAGGGGGGAAAAGACTTTTAGGTGTACTCAAAAAGTTATGGGATTAAATAGTGTCTACATGTTTCACATGGAACTTATGAGTAATTTCCCCTTTATATATCATACGAAGCCTAAAAACTCTCCTCCTTGGCCCTTCTTTGGAGGTTTCTATTATACCAAACATTATGCCTATTTAATAACCTTGGATGTGAGACGAAGGAGGGTAGTGGGTTAAGAGGCCCCATTTGCTTAAGTTTCATCCTCTTTCATTTTTCTTAGTTTTATTTTTATTTTTGGCAAATATAAAAATTTCAGTAATTAAAGAGTAAATTACACTTACCTCTCTTAAGATTTATAAATAATAATAAAAAAATACAATCAACTTTACAATTTTGACATATTAGAATGACATCCCTTCTAATAAAATTAAAGCGACTTAAACTAATATAGATAGTGAGTAAATACTAAAATAAATAAAGATAAATATATATTTTAGGGTAAATTACAAATACACTTCCTGAGATTTGCTTAAAATACGAATTGTCCTCTGTAGTTTGAAAAATTATAAATACCTCATTGTCAGAAATTTTCATTTGTCAGAATTAATTAAAAAAGTAAAATTTCTAATTGTTCACCTATATAAGGGTGCACAAGATAGTGCGATGTAAGGGTGCACAAGATAGTGCGATGTAAGTAAAATGCATGAAATAAATGCGAATATACAAGACAGTGTGATACGGGGTGCACAAGATAGTGCGATGCAAGTGTACAAGACAGTGCGATGCAAGTGAATGTACAAGACAGTGCTGTGGAAGGTGCGATGTAGGTTAAATGCACAAAACAGTGTGATGCAAGTTTGCACAAGATAATGCAATGCAAGTTGAAATATAAGATAAATGCACAAAATAGTGCTATATGAGTGCACAAAACAGTGCAATGCAGGTGCACAAAACAGTGTGATGCACGGTGAATACGTATGGTATGCAAAGGGAAATAAGCAGTATATAAAGTAGTGCATCATGTACCTTATGAAATGAGTGTACATCTTGCCACAACTCATTGAAATGCAACAGAAAGAGAGGCAACTCGACAAAACTCTGTTAATTACAAAACAAAGTCAAGAGCAAGAGCAACGAATCATGCAATTCAACTCAACCAGAGGGTATGAGCATGCAGGCATAATCCAAAGCACATGTATTAATTAGAGGGAAGATGGAAATCCTAAGAGGGTTTTGAAATGGTCAGAGACAACTTTCGAAAGCTGAATCATATCAGAATCAACATGGGGGTAAACTACCCTAATCCAAGGGAAAGTGCCCAACAAATGGCTCTGAGCGGACTGAGGGAAAGGTTGGGTTCATGCCCCTTGTTCGAATGATGATCCAATCTGATGTACTGAAAATTGCCCCTAGTGTCCAATCATTGGCCACCGGTTAGGTTCATGCCCCATGTTTGAATGATGACCTGATCAGATATACTGAAAATTGCCTCTAGTGTCCAGTCATTGGCCACTGGTTTCACCATTATGCAGGTACATGTAATGAGGATCATCAGATCTTGGAATAGTTGTCAACCAAACAGACTCATGTTTCCCTTCTACTCCAGCATGTTTGAGAACTTACTCTAGTCCCCTCCAAAGTAGTGACAGATTCCTCATATATACTTTGCAATGATCATGAATGCGATGCCCCCCTGTATGGGCACTCTTAGTTTGTTTATGAATTCCACTCATGGACTCGTTTTTGAGTTTGGAGCGAACATTCGTGTATAGAATTTTGACCATGCCACTCTGTTAAACTTTTGAGCGACAGACTCGCTAGGGTG